ACCAGGCTTCTGGCCAGGAACCACCTAGGTAAGTGCCTCCTGGCCAGAGTCTGCCTCTGGCACCCCACCCCATTCTGCACCCCAACTACCTGCCCCAGGTCACCACCCGAACCCAGTTGGCGCATTGTGTCCAGTTCTGGGCACCACATTTGAAGAAGGATGTGGAGAAATTGGAGAAGGTCCAGAGAAGAGCAACAAAAATGGTTGAAGGTCTAGAAAACATGACCTATGAGGGAGGACTGAAAGAACTGGGCTAATTTAGTTTAGAAAGGAGCAGACTGAGAGGGGACATGATAGCAGTTTTCAGGTATCTAAAAGGGTGTTACATGGAGGAGGGAAAAAATTGTTCTCCTTGGCCTCTGAGGATAGAACAAGAAGCAATGGGCTTAGACTGCAGCAAGGGAGGTTTAGGTTGGACATTAGGAAAAAGTTCCTAACTGTCAGGGTGGTTAAACACTGGAATAAATTGCCTAGGGAGGTTGTGGAATCACTGGAGATATTTAAGAGCACGTGGGATAGACATCTATCAGGGATGATAAAATGGTTACTTACCTCGTAACTGTTGCTTATGTCCATTCCACTTAGGTGTGCACGCACTGCATGCATGAGTTCTGGAAGCTTTTTACCCTTAACCGTACCTGTTGGGCCAGCCAGGGAGGCCCCTGGAGTGGCACCGGCATATATACCCCTGCTGGCCCTCCACCCCCTTGGTTCCTTCTTGCTGGACATTCCGACGAAGGGGAGGTGGGTGGGATTTGGAATTGACATAAGCAACATGTCTCAAAGAACAACAGTTATGAGGTAACCGTTTTTTCTTCGAGTGCTTGCTTATGTCCATTCCACTTAGGTGATTCCCAAGCTATGCCTATGGGGGCGGAACCTAAGAGCAAATAGACTGCAACACCGCTCTGCCAACAGCCACATCCTGTCTAGGCTGCTATGTAATTGCATAATGGTTAGTAAAAGTATGGATCGATGACCATGTAGCCGCTCTACAGATGTCTAGGATCGGCACCTGCACTAGAAATGCCATTGAGGAGGCCTGGGCTCTGGTAGAATGGGCCATGAGAGAAGGGGCCGGCTTTCCTCTTAGATCATAACACGCTTGAATGCATGCCGTGATCCATGAGGACAGGCACTGAGCCAACACTGGAAGGCCCTTCATCCTCTCCGCTATAGAGACGAATTGCTGTGTCGACCTATGAAACTGCGTTGTCATCTCTAAATAAAAGGCAAGAGCCCTCCTGATGTCTAAAGTGTGAAGCGCCTGCTCTCTCATTTGTGTGCAGCTTAGGGTAGAAGACTGGTAGGAAAATCTCCTGGGACATGTGGAACAGGGACACCACTAAGTAGAAATGCAGGGTGTGGACATCCTTAGAGAACACCGTGTATGGTGGCTCCGAAGAAGGGGCCTGCAACTCGGACACCCTCCTAGCCGAGGTGATAGCCATGAGAAAGGCCACTTTCCATGAGAGAGGGAACACGTAGCTATTGGCTCAAACGGGGGGCTGCATGAGTCCCTGGAGCACTAAATTCAGGTCCCACTGGGGAACAGGCTGCCTAACCTGGGGGTAGAGACTATCCAGGCCCTTCAGAAAGCACTTGATCATCACATGAGTGAAGACAGAGCCCCACCCTTCCCCCTGGTGAAAGGCCACAATGGCCGCCAAGCGTACTCTCACCTAGGAGGTAGTCAAACACTGCTGCCTGAGGTCGAGGAGGTAGTCTAAGATCAGAGGGATGGGGGCCCAAAAGGGGTTCCCCCCTTCTGAATGACCCAAATTGAGAATCTTCTCCATTTGGCCCAATAGGTCACCTTGGTAGAGGGCATCCTACTCCCCCATCAGTACCTGCCTGACCGGATCTGAACAGAGGAGTTCTCGCTCCCTCAACCATGGATCTTCCAAGGTGTGAGGTGGAGGGACTGTAGGTTTGGGTGACACAGATGACCCCAATCCAGCTCCTGTGTCAAGAGGTCTGGCATGAGCGGGAGGGCAATGGGGTTATCTACTTACAGTAACACCAGGGTGGTATACCAGTGCTGGCATGGCCAGGCCGGGGCCACCAGAATCACTGTTGCCCTGTCCCTTTGCA